CGTCCATGCTCTGTTACATCTATGTCACCATTGTTCAAGCCCATTACCTTCTCCCTGCTATTACCATAGATGTGCCGGAGCAGTTCATTGCCAAGGCCTAGCTTGAGAACCAAATTCTCAAGATGTAGTTATCATCGAATTGGAGTGAGCTTAGTTTAGAACAAGGAAATGTTTTCATTATCATAGAGCTGTTCGAGGAAAGCTCTCGTTAATGTTGGAGGACTAAGGTTTCGTTTGGGACAGCTTCCTTACTGCTTCTTAAAGCATCTTTATAGTACAAAAATTAAAAATTTTGTGCTAAAAAGCTGCTTTAAGAAGCAAGAAGAAAGCCTTCCCAAACGAAGCCTAAGTTTTACCCCAGTTAAGGATATAATCTTTGACCACCTTGTCATTTTGCTCACCATTTCACTACCATTAAAAGTCAGCTTGATTGCCAACCCCTCCACTCCAGCTAGTTCTACTTCAAGCTGTACAAGTTGATGGTGCCAGATTTGTAGTTAAAGAGCATGCTAACAAGGAGATTTTTAACATGCTACATGAGTCATGAGCATGGGGAGATTCATGGGATGTTAGAGTTGGTTGTTGTCGTGATGGCCAAGGACATGGCAGGTCCAATAATCTGTAGCTAAACTCTATGTTATTGTGAAGCTTAAAGTGTGATGCTAGTACTGATCCTAAAAGGTTTTAGAAATTTTCCTAAAAGCTTACTTATTGATCTGCTAGTCAAAAGTATGTTGAGTGTTCTTTCATGCTGTAGATTGATCACTTTTTCTATTTTGGCCTCATCAGTGCTATGGACAACAAGTTCTCTCTCCATGTTTTAATTTCTTCTGCTGGACAGCAAGCCAACGCTGCAAACAACCAACAGGAAGCCTATAGCTATAAACAACACCCCAAAACAAGCTTACAACAGAATACATCAGCCAATAGCAGAAAGAAACAGCCATTTGAACTAGCAGCAAACTGTTTCAAAGGAAAAAAGCTAAGGTAACCAGGAACATGCACAATAGCAGTACAAATATGAATCACAGGATAGCAAGCAAATAGCGGCCTAGACCACAGGAAATGGGGAAGGGACTCAACAATCAGCTACAGGAACATAATCGAGGGAATTCGGTAGAGTAGGACAGGAATTAAGGAATGAAAAGAAAGAACTTTTAGAGAGGTTTTCCTTTTTCCTTGTTTCTGTGCCTTTGAATAAACAAGTTGCTGTAGGGATTGATCTAATCCATTCTTAAACCAACTCCTAAAAAACATAAAATCTTGTTTATAATTATTTGATAAATTTAACTGTATTATAATTCTTGCAGCAATTATTTGATTTGAATTTAAATTCAAGTTCTCAAATTTGAATTTAAATCCATATACAAATATAACGAAATAAGGTTAAAATATTCAATTCATCCGTATCCTTTGTAATATGAAATTAATCCAATGGTCCAACTTTTGGGGCTTCGATTTCTCTTGTATGTTCTCTTGATGATTCGATAGCACCTATGTACTATAGACAACATCTTGTTCAATCTTGGCACGGTGATCCGAGAATTGCCATCATCAACATTCAACATCAAGAAAATTAGGTCATTAAAATTAAAAAAAAAGGATCATTTAAATCCTTCCACAATTAGATGCCCGAATCATGAGGATAACTTCATCTTATGGACTTCTTTGAGGTAAATTGTCAGATTGACTGTCCTCATCATGACATGATCCTAAGATATTTCAATTTATAATTTTAAGGTCTGTTTGATGACAGCGGCAATGTTAACATTGGTGACATTGTGGAGATTGTTTCTAGCATTAGAGATGAGGACAAAGTCTTGACCTGTGATGTTTTTAGAAGATTGGTCAATATGGGCTTCTTGGGAAAGAATATTTAATTTGTGGAGTGAAAGGGGAAATAGAAAACAATAAGCTCACCCTTAAATATATTTGGTAGGAGTAGCACTTATCTTCATTAACATGGTGAGGAAAGGTTGGAGTTATTTATTGAAGATAAGGTGTTTGAAAATAGACATAGATGAATTGAATATCTACAAACAAGTTGATAAAATTGGTATTTCCGAGGACTTTGATGGAAAATGGGTAGGCTAAGGACTTAACCAAGGTAAGGTCTTCATTAACAAAACTAGTCATTGGAGAAATCATTGTGCGTAAATTACATCGGTGTTGTTTTACTCATCAATGTGATGTAGGTGCATGTGAATTTAATACAGAAACTCAAAGAAGTAATAATTGAAAATTAAGGCTGATTTGGTTCTTTGAAGTTTCATATTTTATATGAAAAAAAAAATAAAATTTACGATAAGTTTTGCGAAAGAAATCATTTCAAATAAATGGCAGAAAGCTAGTTACTTTCTCGTCAGACCCAAAACAAGGAAGGCTCATGAAATGGGGAAACTTGGCTTCGAAGAGAGAAGAAAAGGCTAGAGCAAAGACGAGTGGGTTTTAATGCAGATTCTAAAAACTTGAAAAATCAATAGTAAAAGTGAAGGTGTTCGAGAAGTACCTCTCGACATCTCTTCGCTTGGGCTAGAAGCATGACTTAAGCAATTGTTAGCAAAATGACAACACAGAGATAAGATAGTTTACGAAAATGGCATAAGCAGTAAACGAGTACATAGCTATGTGCATGGAAAAGTAAGGAGAGAAAAGTGAGGGAGTATACTTGCTTGTCGAGAGGAAAGAGAAAAAGGGGTCGGCCGCCGATGGAGCACTGGAGCTGCTATGTTCAGCTTGAATCGCACAAGCCGCGGGAGGTCGGAATTGGAGTTCGGCGAGACCTATAGGCTGGCTTGGCTAGGGCAGGAGGTCGTGTTCTATAGATAGCCGCAAGGCAGGAGTCGGAGGGAGGAGGCGTTTCGCAGATAGAGAAGGGAGCTTCGGTCCTCTGAAGCATCGAATTTGGTGGGAAAATAATAAGAGAGGGGAATCAGAAGAGGGAGAACAAATCATAGGCTTCACCCTCTTCTGCTTGCCAAGCCGTGAGGCTTCGACCACTGCGAGAACGTCAACCTCTTCATTGTCGAAGGCTGCGCGCGATTCACCAATGCTGAAGACGAAAAGTTTGAATTTCTGATGGATGGGCAAACAATGCGAGATGGGTCATATTAGGGCAAAAAAATATTTTTCAGTAAGGAGGGGGGTAGAATTCTAAAATTACTCTTGTACATTAAATTTTTTTGTTTTTTTTAGGGTGAGCATTTGCCCAACCTGAATTGAGTGGGCATTTGCCCATGAATAGGTTCAGCACATCATATAACACTCAACAAGATTGATTGAAAATGTTAATTCATAATGCCGACCCCAAAATAAGTTGGGATTAAGCTTATGATGATAATGATGGAATAGTACTTAATTTGTCAACATGTATAGAAAAAATAATGGTGACACTTTAGTTAGACAAGTTGACCACATTTTGTTAAGTCATATTGGGTTTATGCGCTCATTGCGGTAAAGTGATGAGAGTTAAGTGTAAATAATTCTTATTTGTTTATTTATATTTTACTCAATTTACTTGGATTTAAAATCTCTTTTTGAAAAAAAAATCATATCAAAGTTAGTTTTTCCTCTCTTAGAATTATCTTCTTTTGAAGTAAAACGGGCCTATCAGTGCATGCTTTAGGAGGGAATGCTAGCAACAATATTTTCCATGCATTAATGATAATTGTTTTCATGATTTGAATCCATGACCTTCCGACTACAATGGAGGCAACCCAACGATTATTATAGCCCGGCCCTCATTCTTTTATCTAAAATGCTAAGAAATAGTGCGGCCCTCATTCTTTTATTTAAAATGCTAAGAAATATTCTCAAGTTGCATCTGAAACGTATGGCTGTTTGGTTTGATTCTTGATTATAGTTCAAAAAGCAATTGCTTGCATATTGCAGAGTTTTGTTGGTCACGGGGATTCAGTAAATGAAATAAGGACTCAATCATTGAAACCTTCGCTTGTGGTATCTGCTAGCAAGGTAGTTCAAAGTATTCATTGGTCATAATGGCTCCCCTGTATGCATTATCAGTTTTCAAGGTTTATTTAAATTTTTTCACAGGATGAATCAGTGCGATTGTGGAATATACACACTGGGATTTGCATTCTAATTTTTGCAGGGGCTGGTGGCCACCGAAATGAAGTTTTAAGTGTTGTAAGTTCTATGAAATTTCTTTTTCCTAACCCAAAATTTCCAAGATTTGGAATGGTAGATATATTGTTGTTTTCTTTTTTTTTTTTCCTTTCAGGATTTCCATCCATCTGATATTTACCGCATTGCAAGTTGTGGCATGGACAACACTGTTAAAATTTGGTCAATGAAAGGTAAAATAATTGTTTGAATTTATGATACAATGGTTTTTTAGCTCAAGTACCTGCTTTGTGACATTTGGCTGGCATTCGCAGAGTTTTGGCAGTACGTTGAAAGGTCCTTTACATGGACTGATCTCCCATCAAAATTTCCTACAAAATATGTGCAGTTTCCTGTGAGCATCAAATCCTTTTAATGTTAAGAAGGAATTAAAATTTCTATGACAGCTTAAAAGATGAACAACTTACATATTTTTTCCATTTTGTATATTAAGTCAGTTTCTGCTCTCTTAGGTGTTTATAGCCTCAGTTCACTCCAACTATGTCGATTGCAATAGATGGCTTGGTGATTTTATACTATCTAAGGTGAAATAATATCTTGTTTCAATAGGATCTTTTCATAGTTTATTCACTTTCTGCTGGGCTGGTCATTGGGCTGTTCATCTTGGTGGTTCCAGCTTTTGCTACATTTGTTTTGCTACATATCTATGTATGATAATAATACATATTGGTATACCGATTGACATGCTCCGCTTGTCAACATTGCAGAGTGTCGACAACGAAATTGTCCTTTGGGAGCCAAAAATTAAGGAACAGAGCCCTGGGGAGGTGACTTCTGCTGAACACTTCTTGTGTCCCCTTACATTCCAGTAATATGATGCGTACATAGAACTTTTCAAAATGAAGTTTTGTTGCCTTATTTTTGTTAGTGGCTGTATGATGAGTTGTACAAAATGATATCTGACCTTTGAGTTTGGCTAAATCTTAGGGTGCATTTTGCATGCGGTTTCTTTTCCTGTCGCAAGACTTTAATAACTTGATTTTTATCTGAAGTAGGGAGCTGTTGATATTCTACAAAAGTATCCTGTGCCAGAATGTGATATCTGGTTCATCAAGTTCTCATGTGACTTCCATTACAATGCTGCTGCAATAGGTATTCCCTTGCAATTTTGTAGCTTAAGGCTTCGTTTGGGACGACTTTCTTATTATTTCTTAAAACAACTTTCTAGTACGAAAGTTTTAATTTTTGTACTAAAAAGCTTCTTCAGGAAGTACTAAAAAAGTCGTCCCAAATGTTTAAAGGATTCTGTTGCAAGGCTTTTTTTTTTTTTTTGAGACTTGTTTCACATAATCCAACAAGAATGTTTTATTTTCTTTTGATTGGTATCTCTGTTGATGTGAGAAGCACATTTCCTTTAACAATTAATAAGATGATTTAAGTTCAAATAAAATGACTGATGGAGCCAAATGCATTCAACTATTTTTGTGTTTATCAGTACCTCATCTAAATAGAATATAGGAAAACTCAATCTTAGTTCTCATGGGATATTTTTTGTCAGCCCAATCAAGAAGGTCTGAATTTTCTTAGATTTCCTATCGGTTGACCCGAACATGACCCAAAACTTACCCCCTTTGCTTCAACCGTTAGCCTAATCGACATGATTTAGGATGCCTGATAGAAGCCGTTTTCCTGCACGCCAAAGTTTTACAATGATTTCATGAGGTGTACAAAATCTTGCTGTGTTCTAATTTCTCACTTTTTATTCAAACTAGGTAATAGGGAAGGAAAGGTTTTCTTATGGGAGCTACAATCCAGCCCACCTGTTCTCATTGCAAGGTAGACTTTCAATTCAAATCTTTCTCAGCTTTTCTTTTTGTTATTCCTTTTTAATGTCTTGACTGGACAATTATTTCTCTTGTTGGTATTGTGGATGATTGTTCTGCTTCAGGCTGTCACACGTTCACTGTAAATCTCCAATCAGACAGACTGCTGTGTCCTTTGATGGAAGGTATTGCGGACATGCTCAGTCCAAATTTTTTACTGCTACAGTGCTACTGCTATCATAAAATTCCTTTGCCTATATACATTGATGGCTTTTGTTTTTGTTTTTGTTTTTTTTTTCTCAAATTGATACATTTTACAGCACCATTCTAAGTTGTTGTGAGGATGGCTCGGTCTGGCGGTGGGATGCAGTACAATGATGACGAATGCTGGTAAAATTTTGATAGGGGTACTTTTGTTCAGTTATTATTAAGATTTCATTTGGGACGGTTTTTTTACTGCTTCTCAAATCAGCTTTGTACTAAAAAATTATTTTGAAAAACAATAATAAAATCATTTCAAATGAAGCCTCCTCTATGTGCTTTCCCAAATGATTTATTCTTTTTGGTAGACATGTATTGTATGAAGACTGGTTTCTGAATCTTGTATAACTATAATGCATTGGTAAGAGCTTTTTAGGGTCTTTTTTTTTCTTTAATGTTTAATTTTTACTCTTGGTTTATGATTGTTCTTGTTATTTAAGTTGCAGTTAAAAAGGTTTGTGTGAAGTTTTTTAGAAGAGGGATTTGTATATGGAATTAATTTAAAATTATTAAAATATATTATATAATACTAACTTAAATTAATTATTAAAGATATTTTAATTTAATAGAGCGGCTCAACGAGCTTTCGAGCTAAGTCAGATTGAGCTCGTTTAATATACGAGCTTGAACTCATGGATCATAAGATCAACTTGTGAGCTCGTTAATGAGTTGAGTTCGAGCTGATTTGACTTACTTGCACCCCTACATGCGACCTAGTACAATTATATTTTTATGCTTATCATCCAAGATTTTTTAAACATATTAAATATGCCATTCAGTAACTTTTTTAACCTAATTTGCCCTGCATTGATTCCTGGGTTAAGTTGAGCTTGAATCATGCCTAACTCGAGCTCAACTTGTCTATCAAATCAGGAGCGCGAATCCAAGCTCGAGTTGAGCTCAAAGGGTGTTGTCAAGCTCAACTCATACAATAAAAACAAGTTCTCGAGCCAGCTCATAAGCTCATTGCAAAAGAACTGGTCAACAACCGCAGCAATCATAACCAAAGAAAAAGGTGTACCTTTTCCCGCCAAGCGTCGATGATATTAGAGCTGAAGGCGTCTTGCGTTTTTTTTTTTCCTTTTTTTTTATTTTAAATTGCAAATTGCATTAGAGAAGAAAAGACAAGTTACAAGCTAAAGAAAAGGCTCACATTCCTTCTTCAACAAACAACCAAGAGAAGAAGGAATGTTAGCAAACGAAGAACTATCAAAACAAAAATTATTCTCTAAAGCCAAAATAGCACAAAGATCGGCTACCTTATTACAATCTCTATGAACATGGTGAAAGATTACCTTATTGAAGTCAGTCAAGAACAAAAAATCTTCATATATCCGATTGTAGCTTTGCCACTTTGCCTAATTCAAAGCATTTTGAATAAACTTGATAATGTTGAGGTTATCACCGTCAATTATTACTCCTTTGCTATCTAACATCCATATTTGAATGAACTTCCTAATTGACACCACGACATCCATCTCAAGTTGTGCCACATCCCAATGAATTCTTATTTCCCCAAAGGCAAGTAATAATCTACCTTTGTAGTCTCTAAAGATACCTCCAATTCCAGCACTATTTGAAGTTAGAAGTGATGCATCAACGTTTATTTTAATCCAATCTAGCAGTGGAGGGTGCCAAACATTTTGAAACTCCCTAAGGAGATTAACACCCCAGCTATCTAGAAATAGATTAGAATGAGTCATTGCTGAACTATGTCCTTTATAGTCACAATTGCAAGGAACTATGCCTATGCGATATCTATTAGACCGGTCCAGCCTGTCCACATAGGACCGGCTCAGGCGGAAGAATCCGCCTCTCATGAATGCCAATCGGAAGGCATAATCCAATGGAACTTTTTGGGAAAATTTTTTGAGGGATTTGGAAGTTAAATTTGAATGTAAGGACTGTATAGATATTTCTTTTTGAATTGTATGCATTAAATAATTTGTTTTTTTAGAGTTAGAGGATCTCTTAAATTTAGATTTTGGGCTCTAGCAATGTCCAGAGATTTGGGAGAAATAAATCTTCTTCTCAAATAGAGGATCAATTATATCTTGTATTTTCTTCCATTAGTTTGTCCTTGCAATAAAATTTTTATTTTTCTCTAATTACCCATTGTCTTTGCAGAGATTTCTCGCTGTTTTTTTTTTTTTTTTTTTTTTATTGATAAGATTTAATTGAGATCTTCAAGTGTTTCCTATCATTATCCCAATGCTCAAAAGTCATAATCAGTAGACCTTTGTCATTCCTAATAACCTCACCAAGACCTGCACAGTTGGATGGCAATTAAGGCAACATCGATATTAACTTTTATCCACTTGGCACCAAAGTTCATGAATGAGCAGCTCAGAAGGCTCTTTGATGTCTCACAGAAAAAGAGAAAAAAAAAAGCAGCAGCCATTGATCATATTTGTGTCAACATTTTCACATAAAACAGCACAAACTAACAAATTTACATTAATTATAATCAAATCTTTTACAGGCACAGCTTGTTCAAGCTTCTAGATCAGAAAACAGGGATGAGTTAACCCCATGATTGCTAGAGTACAAAGCAAATAAATTACCTAGTTAAGAGAACTAGGTGAACCCCAGTTAGCTTAACATTCAGCACAAATTGCCGCTAGTCAAACACTTGGTTGAAATGCTACGAAATTACGCAAAGATCCAAATCAGTTAGTTGGTACAGCAGTAATGAGTTGAGAAAATAAGATACCTTAGGAGATAACTTATTCAAGCAACAGGAGGGCGAGATTCGGCATCCTGGGAGGTATCAACATCAGAGGGCTGCATGAACTGCCACATAGGGTACCCAGGATAGCTTATTATAGGCATCATCAACTTCTGGCCAGGTTTATTTCCCTGTGCAGCAAAGGCAGTTGGAATCACAGGAGCGTGAGGTATGAAGCTCGGCCTTGCATTGAGGAACTTGATCTGCTGCTCTAGGCTCTCTTTCTCTGCCTTCAGCCGCTGCTTCTCATCACGTAGTTCATTCTTTTCAACCTGCATTGCAGGTTTTCAACTTTGTTCATTGTTTAATACTGCTCATCAGAGTAGCCATACTATTTTGCAAATATAAGAAGGAACAACATTATATTCTGTCCCCACTCCATCTTATAAAACCAACAGGGAAGGAAGATTATAAATCCAATAATCTTTAATATTTGCAATTTTTGGCACAAAACCTCCTTCCGTGACACAACATTCCACAATATGATCCGGCCAAAATCAACCTTGTTACCAGAAAGATGAGGCAAAGAAAGAAGTTCATGTAATTTTTACTGAAAGCTAATGACAATTAATATGGAATGTTGTTTTGGAAGGCAACAACGGGAGAAATATATCATTTTGAAGTCGTAAAAGACAGCATGAAGCAGTCAAAAGGATGCATGCAGTCGTGTAGAATGAAAATCGTCTTTTCCTAAAAGAAAAGATGAGAACACTAGAGAGAGAAGCATTAGAGATTTGTGGCAAAAGTCTTCTGACAAACTTTCTAGGAGGAAGTCTCAACTGTTGGGATTTGTGGCAGGGGTTTCCTGCAAACCAAAAAAAAAGATTTTTTGGCTACACTAAATTTTTCTCTTTATAGGGGGTACAGGGCATATCATGTATCCCTAAGAAATTGGTTGTAATTCTCCACAATCAGAGTAAAATCTGTAGCAATAACAATATGACAGACATCAATTAGGTGAGCATACATAAAATTCTTGTCTAATTTTATATGATGAACGTCTTTTGTGTGTGTTTTTTTATTTAATATATATGCTTGTTATGTGATAGAAATGTACCCCTCAAACTTAAGGGAAAATTCTATAAGATGGTAGTGAGGCCTGCAATGCTTTATGGTGCCGAATGTTGGCCTTTAAAAGAGAAGCATAATACTAAGTTAAGTGTGGCAGAGATGAGGATGCTCAGGTGGATGAGTGGCTTTACTCTTAGAGATAGGATACGAAATGAGCATATACGTGAAAAGGTTGGAGTAGCTCCAGTAGAAGATAAGATTAGAGAAAGTCGCCTTAGATGGTTTGGTCACATAAAACGGCGGCCTTGCGATGACCCGGTTAGGAGAGTAGAGGTATTAGATTTGACTTATGTTTAAAAAGGTAGGGGTAGACCTAAAAAGACTTGGTTAGAAAATATTAGGAATGACCTTTCTTTATTAGATTTAAACGAGAATTTGACTTTTAATAGGACACAATGGAGAAAAAGGATTCATGTAGCCGACCCCACGTAGTGGGATAAAGGCTTGATGTTGTTGTTGTTGTATATATGTTTGTATAAATTTCACCTATTTCTCAACAACCAAGTCATGAAATTAAAAGAATAAAGAATGAGCTGGTTCACCAATCATATAACTCAGTGGCGCAATTGTGAGCCAATGGGGGCATGTGTCCCAATACTAGATTCACCCATGCATGTATAAAGAAAGTCATCCAGTAAATGGAACACGAAAAAGTGCGTTTCAAACTGCAAAAGAGCACAAGATAATTTGGGACATGTTCTTCCGTTAGAAGGATTTGATTATATCCATGATGAAAAAAAGCTATGTGGAAGCCTGAAAGATTCAATGAAAACTAATACGTAAAAAGAAAAAATAAGAAAGTAATTTTGCAAACCTTTAACTCTTTGATTTTCTCTTGAAGACTTTCATTCAAATCTTTCAGTTTCTGAGCTTCACCGCGCAGCTGATTCACCATACGGGTGGCATCCTTGAGAATAGATACTTTGTCCACTTTAGGGGGCTTTCCAGGTTCCAAGATGGACCCCAATTCAAGAAACCTTCGTGTCAAAAAGAGTTGCAAAGAATATAATGAATTATTAATAATAAAGTTTGAAGAATATACATGTAACCATACTTGTCATTCAGTCTATCTCTCCTCATTTTCTCCCTGCAAGCTTTAGATCCGGGTTGACTGGAAGACTCAGACCTGACACTGCAACTCAGAAAATGATTGACACTTAAACACCAGAAGAAGTACAAAAGGAGATCAACTAAACTACAAAGCTAACACAAAAAGAGAGAGATTTAAACCGTTTACGAGATCCTTGTTCCTTGAAGGCATCAGTTTCTATGAAAGAGCCATCCAGAGCTACACTGGAACAGTAACGAAGGGGTTAAATTAGTTTCATATGAGGAAAAAAGAAAATTTCTGCATATGATCATGATAAACAACGGCCAACCAAAGATGGTGAACACAATAAAGGGTTATTCTTCGGATATGAGAAGTAACAACTAACTCAAATTGCTAATGAATAACTGCCCTGTTCAATATAGGGAGAGTTAAAAGTAATAGCTAATCCAAGTCCCTAGTAACATGCAGATACCTACAACAAAATACTACAACAGCATGGAAAAAAACAATTTGGCGAGAAACCGAATAAAATGAACTACAATATCATCATTGTCACTGCCTACTCATTTTAATTAGAACAAGAAAAAACAATCTTCCTCAAAACTCAAGCGCATTGCACATTCCATTCTGGCAGGGAACTGTATTCAGAACCCATTGTCGTTTCTCAATGACCGTGAAGAAATCAAAATTAACAATCTAATGGCTCAAATTTTTAATTAGTTTGATATATAATAACTCTTTTTAGCAAGTAGAATACAAAAGAGTAGGGGTGTCAAAAGTTGACACAACCCGAAACCCGGACACGACCCGGAAAATCCGGGTTCGGGTCAACTTGTTTGTGAAACAGATCGGGTCTGGGTTCAGATTTCTGACCCATTTGAAAAACGTTCAGGTTGACCAGAAAACCTGCTGGTCAACCCATTTTGACCCGAATAACCGATTCACTGTCACCTGAGCTGCCCGACCCGGACCCGCTCTCTCAGACTCTCACAAGTCACAACCTGGCTAGCTGGCCGCAATGCAACTGGACGCATTTGTGGTGGACTATGCAACAGCCTCCGTCGGGGCTAGCTTGGACGACGGTGTCGTCACCGGGAGCTCCACCGGCAGAAGATGTGGCAAGGTGGAGGCGATTTCCGTCGAACAGTCCCCACCGGGCAGAGCGGACGTGGTCGAGGAGGCCGTAGAAGAGGGCCTCGCGGCAGAGGAGCTTTTCGGAGATGTTGGGTGCAACGTGGAGTTCGCCGGAGCGGAGGAGGTCCAGAAGTACGCCGAAACATGTCGTAGAAGAGAACCTGCGTCACCTACCCCCTGCTCTTGCCTGAGCTGCTCTTGCCCGCGTTGGGAAGAAATCAGCGAGTCAGATCTGGTCAACCCGCAACCCGTACGGGTCGGGTCCAGGTTCAATTTCTTGACCCATTAGCTAAACGGTTCAGGTTCGAGTTGACCCGTTTATGCCCGGGTCAAGTCGGGTTCGATCCGAACCCGACCTGTTGGCCCGATTTGACACCCCTACAAAAAAGCTCATGCTCATGAAGTTATAAATAAAAAACAATCTACACAATTAATGGCCTGTTTAGGATAATTTTTATTTTTTTAATTTTATTAGTAGTTTTGTTTTTGTTTTTGAAAAGATGTTGTTTAGTGTATTTTTCTTTTTTGAAAAAAAAAAATAAAGTTATTTTAAAAACATTCAAAACAACTTTAGGTGTTTTGAGTATTTTTAAAAATATTATCACTGCAATTATCTAGGTTGAACTCGACTTTTATTCATGGTCATCATACACGATTAAAAAGAGGATAACAGATAGATAAACACTGTATAGCCACATGAGAATGAATATGATCATGAATAGCACCATTGGATCAGCATGCTTTTTCATCTATCACTGTTGTTTACTTCCAGTGTAGTAATGCGCGGAACTATGGTAGTATCAACTATCAATCATGTTAGTTGTCACCAGCATCATAAAAAAAAAGTAAAGTTTTGAATCATTCTCTTCTGCCAAAGTGTTTAAATATTGTTCAGAAATCCATGTCCATGTAATTCATTTTCTTGTGATTTGGAGCTCCCATTGGTAGACTTATCAAATCCAATGAAGAAAAGTATCGACCACAATGGAATTTGAATGTGAAAGGTTGCAAGTAATGTTGGCAAAGGTATATCCATCAAGAGTCACTTGTCTTCATTATGTGATAGAAATAGTCTCATTTATTTAATTAACGGATTAATTTTCAAATAGTCCATCAACTACTCGTATATGATCATTTTAATCCTATAGTATGATTTTATTCCAATTTAGTCCCTCGACTATACAAAATTGATCAAAAAAGGTCCCTACTAAATTAGGAATAGTTTTATAAAATTGAGAGACTAAATTGTGATCAATTTTATATCGCAATTACACCATGAGGAACTATTTTTTATTTTATATAGTCGGGGGACTAAATTGGCGCAATGTGATACTCTGATACTAAATTGATCATACAAGAATAGTTTGAAAAACTATTTGAGATTTTTTTGTTTTATTACCTATAGGTGGAGTAATAAGAAATATTTGAAATTGAACTCCTCTACATGTCCTCCTCTTGCAATAGTTCTTCTAAGGCTATCTTGAGGAGGGTAAAGTGTATGAAAATGAGAAGGATCTAGGCAATCTGCTAAAAGCGTAAAGGAGGGACAGGTGACTGCCCACAAGGGGCAATGATGTTGGAATTTATCATGTCCATCGAAGCTTTTGGAGAGAGCCAATAAGATGACATCATTGGTGCATGATGTGTCCTTACACAAAAAAGTGCGAAAATTAGATTGGTGGCGAAGATGATGGCAATGGTGATGGTGATGAACTCGAAAAGGAAGGTGCAAACGGTGTTTGATTAGATGACATCCTCGATCTGGCATACGTAATATCAGTGGCAACATGGCTTTATTGTCTTCATATCTAAGTGTTAATAGTATTTCTTGTTAGAATTCTCAGCAACAAACTTTTAATTAGCCTTCTACCTCTCCTTCTAGAAAAGGAATGTAGGAATAAAAATAGATTTCCCCATAAATAAGGTAATAGCTCCAAGAAGCCCGCCATTTATCAATAAAGTATTGCTTGATTATAAGATATGAGATAGAAAAAGAGAGAGAAGAATCATGTTGCATTACCAGAATTTTCCCTTAAAGGTTAAATAAAGGTTAAAAATAGCTAATGAATAAATTTCCTCAATGTTTTCTCTATTTAAAGCTCTCACTACATTTTTAACAAACCCAATTGTTACACACTTTTTCAAAAAAAAAAATAAGAAAAATAAAAAATTGGCTCTTTTTTTTTTCGAGGTTTAGATGGCAAGATTGAATTAGTTAATTGGAGTTGTTAAACTGGTTTGAGAATTTAATGAGGGCTACAAGAAAAATCCTCAAAGTAAAGGCAAAAGGTCTATAGATTGACTTCGAATCAATTGGCCTATTGGCTCCTAAGCATGGTCAAAGATCAATGACCCAAGCATATGATAAAATTGAGCCGAACATCCTTGGTATGGCTAACCTGGCTACATCATCCCAAAAGGAAATGAAGCGGGTGGGAATGACAACAAAATAAGGTCTTCATTGTCAACATCTAATAAGATAGAAATCTTTTTCCCTTCCCATTAAGAGTTGTGCTTAGATTTAATTTTTATGGACTATTTCAAGATTAACATGAAGCTCCAGAGGATTGCCATGAATGGCATCATCCCCTTCACAAGGATATCTCCATTGAAAGAAAAGAATCAAATTTGTGATGCTACCATTACCACATGCCTAACTTAACTTGAACATGGCCTAGTGCTAACTCTATATTTTCCAACCAATGGGAGAATGACTCATGAAGAAGATGATGATGATTTGATGATTTGAGCTCCAAACTTTCCCATAAATACGGGCCAATATCTACTCTCCATTAGGAGGGAGAAGGAAGAATATGAAGAGAAAAAATATAGAAAAAAACCTAGAGAGATAGAGTGCTAAAAAATTCAAGAAAATTAGAAAAATTAAAGGAATCCCAATCCACTCTTTGTTTGATGAAAATATGACTTGGACAATCACTTTAGGTAGGTGATTATTCCTCACTATTTATTATTATTAATTCATAAAAATTCAACAAAATTAAATATTTAAGCATATTTTATGTTTTGTATCTACTATTAACGTTAGCTCATTTGCATAATTACTTAATTAGCACAGATTTTTTTATTATTTTAGATGTTCATCAAAAACATCATTAAAGCATTCCCGAGGGAATAGGTGAATTGAGAATCCAAGTAATGCTTACAATAATGTTAATATTTTGATTATGAATTTTAATTGCTATTGTATAACAATTAATATAAATTTATATGATAAGAATGGTGACAATAGTGAAGATTTTTTAAGACCAAAAGTTCTATAAAATTATAATAACCTCCAAAGAAATTGAAATCTAGAAGAATCTAACAAAGGAGTCAAAAGCTCCAATAGTGTGAGAATAGGTCCATTGAACCTAAAGTTGCTATTTTGTTTTCTATAGCATTCGACTACCAAAACAACTTACTTAGAGGCTGATCTTCAATTTTGTACCTGATGTGTGGTGTTATCATAGGCTAACACTAGAGATGGGCTCAAGAAAATGATCAAGGCCATGTACCCAAATGATCTACAAAGAAGTGGCTTATGGTCAACCTTTTCTATGGTAAAACGAAATTAAGACTTGATATAAAAACTTACCACCAATTGAAAAGACATCATACTAGAAAAAGAGAATAATGGTCATGAAACAACTAAATAGACACATTGATTATAATCGACGATGATGATGATAGTGAAGTGTAAAGAAACTCCCTGGCCTAACTTCTAGTTCTAGAACAATCCTAGATATAGTGACAATATCAAGCTCAAACAAGGAAATGGAAGAATTTAACGAAGAGGGTGAAGATCAAGAGTCACTATGCAAAAGAAAAAAAAAATGACATAGTGATGAATAAGCTTATATTTTCAGAGTGTGTGGTGAACTTAGAATTTTTATCTATGTAATTTGTATCAAACATAAGCATGTATGTCTCTTAAAAGTTAATCAAAAGTAGAAACTTGTTCTTTTTCATAAAAAGTTTCCAAATGTAATAAAAGAGTTTTCCTTCAACACATTCACAACTGTGGGTTCCAAAAAATTCCATTTTGTGTGATCCTGGCCTCTCCACGCCATCCGTTTATTTTTTTTTTTAAATGTCTGTGTGACGATGACGATAGAGAGTTTTAACGAGATTAGATTCCGGGGGAATTTTCAGAAGGCAGATTGGGTTTTAGATAAGACACTGCCTAG